TTCTTCACTGTTTTTCTCCAACCAATACTATAGGTCTGTGAATTCAAAATGTTCATGCATCTAACCCTGATTCATCCCTCTCATGCCCCAGAATCAGCTGTTCAGCTCTAGTAACAGGCCTATCTATTTAGAAATATTCCTGATACCTCAAAGTACACCCATCTTTTCATGAAAATCTGTTCTCTCCTAAATATTCTGTCACAGCCAAAGACTAAATCATTCTTGATTCCTTCCCCTTCTCCAAGTACTAGAGTCAATCTGTTGCCACGTCCTATAGGCATCTCTGAAATCTGTCCACCTTCACATCCATTCAACTCACTTGGAATGATGCAATAACTTGCTAAAACTCTTGCAGATGTTTGTATTTGGGTGATCTGGGCACATTTCAGTAGATCCCCAGAAAGGAAGACTGTAAAGGTCAGATGGTTGTTTTCAATAAGCACGAGTCTATCCTTTTATGTTAATTATGCTTTTACCTACTCTAAGCATCAAAGAAGCTTTGGGAGGACCAAGGGCAGGCGGTCAGCTATGGGGCCCTACAGACTCTTCTAGCCTTTGTAACAACAGACATGTACCAAAAGCCCAGGTAGAACTGTTTCTCTTTTTTCAAGATTGAAAAAGATGGTTCCCATGGTAAACTAAGAACCTTTTCTATGTTTTAGGGCTCTGGGAAAAATAAAGGCTGGAGCAAACCAGGGAAGGGTAAGGTCAGTCTGATATCTGTAGTAAAAGAGAGAATATATGAATTTCAGGAAGGAAATTGGGGGATTGCAGAACCAAAGAAGAAAGGGAAGAGGAAACTGAGATGCTTCTGCAAAGATCACAGGGACCTCGTAGGCAGCAATGCCATGGATGCCACGCTGTGCTAATGTAGCCTGCATGTGGGGACTCACTTCTAGAATGACAGGTTCAGGGTATTCCTGGGAAGATGTGTATGTTTATGTAAGGCAGGGGTCCTCAAACTACAGCCCGTAGGCCACATGCAGCCCGCCGAGGACATTTATCCGGCCCGCTGGGTATTTTCGCCACCGCTGCCTGTCCTGCTTAGCAGCCTACTCGTCCCGGGCCCACGGTGCGCATGTGTGGAATGTGCGCTGCACTCTCCAACAGTCCTCCAACGGTCTGAGGGACAGTGAACTGGCCCCCTGTTTAAAAAAGTTTGAGGACCCCTAAAGCGGTGGCCGAATCAGCTTGTGCTCACTGCCGTCTGTCTCCACAACCTGGTACGTTGAATGCACATTGGGAAAATTAAGACGGTTCATTGAGGTAGGGAAGTATAGTGTACACAACAAGGAGTTTGGACCCAGGTGGACCATGGTTCATCCCCTAATTCTATCACGTATGTGTCTATGTTCAGAGCACAGTGTCTAACAGAGTCTCCTCCAAATCATTCTAATGCATCCAGAATTCTCTTTCTAAAACACAGACTGATCAAGTCACTAATTTTTAAAACCCTTTGTGACTCTTCATTGGCAAGATGAAATTCAAACTACTTAGGAAGGCACATGCAATTTTCTAAAGTTAGCCCTTGCTCTTCTATCCAGTCTTCTTAAATGCCGTCTCCCCTTTATACCTTTCAATTTTACCATGCAGACTGACCTATGGCGGCCCCAAAGACAACAGGAACTAACACTTCAGCATCCTGTTACAAGCTGTTCCCCATCTTCCAAGACCTATTTTCCCCTTTTCTAGCAGAGAAATGCCAATTCATCCTCTAAAGTTCAACTCAAATGACATCTGCTCTCTGAGGACTTCATCAGCCACCAGGAATACTTGCCAAAGCACATTCCCTCCTTTTCAATCCACATTTATGTAGTACTCTGTAGCATCTTTTGAAGAAGCTATCATATTTTTTTTATTATTTGTTGATTGGTTCATTTCACCTTCTAGAATCAGCTCCTTTCTACAAGGAGCTAAATTTATCAATTTTATTAAATTTTGCCTCCCAAGAATCTAACAGGACTTGGGAGGCTATGTATGCTAGGTGAATAAATGCCTAGAGGATTGATCTGAATTCAAATTTAAGAAAAGGATTATAGATGATAGCCCAATATATGAAACTGCTACATGATTTGCTTTGGTTGCCTAAACACATATACGCACCAGACAAATCAGCCCTGTACTCATACACAATGTTTTCAGAAATGTTAGTCAAGAAATCAAAAGCAGTATATTGATTTAATTATCATTAAGTAACCAGTAACCACACATATTTGCTCACCCTTGAATAATTCCATTAATGCTTTGTAAGGACCAGAGTACTTTTGTGGAGTTTATATTTTCTTTTAAAAATATTAGGCTGGGAAGCCTGCATGTCCAGATAGCACAACTATGTTGCTATTGCTTCACTGTCCATCGTAAGTAGCCAACTTCAATGTACAAAAGAATTAATGAATTCTCTCTTAATTATCTATGATTTATTAGAAGTACAACATTTTCTCTTTTTTTGGCACTGGCAGGTACTCAGTACCTCTTTTCATTTGATAAATCCTGACATTAAGGCACAGACTCATTTCTTTGTAGGGCACTGAAAATTTCAGTGGGCACAAGAGACCCAGAAGATCGCTTCATGGATCTTAGCAAATGACAAAGACACCTGCCACCTGTCACAGTCAGCAGAGTGTTGCTGACAGGGAACATGTTGGCACATGACAAGAAAATAACCTACCCTCTTAACGACAAAAATCTGTCTCCCCAACCTGTTTGAATTTTCAACTAGATTGCCGACTGGTTTGACTCAATCAGGCAAGTAACTGAATTCTTATTTCAATAACTTGAATGCTATAACAAGACACAGAATCAGGTCAAAGAAAGACATCTGAGTTTTATCTGGCAACGTATGTATAAAATGCTTCCACTCTGTAATGTGGCAGAGAGAGCCGTCTGGGCTCAAGTCCTGACTCTGCCACCTATTAGCTGTCTGAGCCTAGGAAAATCACCTGACTTCTCTAAATCTCAATCTCTTTGTTTGAAAATGAGTACTAAAAGTGAGCACGTTTTAGGATCCGGAAGTATTAAGTAATTTGCATATTTTGCAAAGAACCAGGAACAGGGCAAGGGCTAAAATGTTAGTAGTATAAATTTTCATCGTTAATAACATTAAGTCTTTCTTTTGAATCTAGACCCCAAACTATATGATCAAGCACCTGCAAAGATTTCATCATTAACTTTGAATCCACATAATCTTTTTTTTTCATTGACCACCTCATCTACATACATGGCACCATATTCCAGCAGAATGTTCAAGCCAAAAAAAGTATAAATCACTGTGGATTCCTTCCTTTCCCTCGGCCCACTGATCCAATGGCGAATCTTGTGATTTATGATTCTATCATAAGTCCTCTATTATCACTGCAATCGTCATTGTCCAGCACACCATCATCTCTAGCCTCAGCATCTACTAAGTAGCATTCCAAAGTTACACAGCTAGCAAGTTCCACAAAAGTTAATAGTCAGGAGTTGAGAACATTCATACATCAATGATGATCCTCTATACACATTTGTTGCCAAGGTTAGTAACTTGTTTTCTGTGTGTTGTTCTTCATAATAGGAATTAGTGCCAATGAAAAAGACAAAAGTGTTTGAATTTCTTTTTCTGTTTGTTTTTGTTTTTGAGACAGGGTCTTGCTCTGTACCCAGGCTGTAGTGGCATGGTCACCACTCACTGCAGCCTTAAACTCCTGGGCTTAAGGGATCCTCCTGCCTCAGCCTTTTGAGTAGGTAGCACTATAGGTACACATTACCACATCTACCTAATTTTTAATTTTTTTGCAGAGACATGGTCTCTCTTTGTTGCCCAGGCTAGTGTTGAACTCCTGGCCTCAAGCAATCTTCCTACCTCAGCCTCCCAAAGTGCTAAGATTACAGGTGTGAGCTACCATGCCTGGCCATGTTTGAATTTTTATATTCATTTGCTATTTCACAGAGATAGGGTATATGTATAATTTTATAAATTGACATCTCAGTGGAACAAAATATATTTAACAGATAGACTTAAACATTAGCATAAATAAAATCAGGATTCATGAATTTAAGAGTTTTTCTTGTGCAGTATAATTATTTGAAATCTAATCTTAAGCATGGGGGATAAAGGTAAACAACACAGATACTCAAAAAGTTAAATTAAATAGCAAAAGCCAGGAGTAGGGGTATATATATAGAGAAAGACAAGAAAGAATATGCTTTGGTAGTAAATTTGTGAGATCAATTATAATATGTATATTATACTGGCACAAGGTAAAATAGAGTATTACCTTTTAGAAGTAAATGGTTTATATTATTATTATTTCTCTTTAATTGATCTCTGCCAATTCAAAGGAAAAGAAAAAGAACTCCAGTTTGAAGATGTTGACAAATTTCTTCTGCATCTGATTAAAGCTCATTAAGGAGAAACATAGAAACATAAGACCAATTTAAAGAGCCCTTTACTGACTGCTATGCAGGAATATGCTAATAGTTGTGTGCTTTCTAACTATATTACCTACTATCAGTATTATAACGCTAAAAAACACAGTTGTTGAACAGCTGTTAACAACAAGAATCCACACAGTTATCAAACATAAATCAGTCTATGTCATCCTGAGACACAGAGTGACGCTGTCTGTCACTCTCTGGGAAGAACCATTTCACCCTTCACAGTCCACATCAAGGCAAGCGACCCAAGTCCTGAGAGTTTTGATCATCCCCAGAACAAAATGAAGTTCATAATTCACATTATAATTCCATACCATCATGGCTTTTTAAATTTATGATTTCCCCTTGAGGACAATGGAAAACTTGTTCATCAACCCAGAGAACCTTTCGCTTCCTGCCTCCTTTATTTCAGCATTCCTGTATTTTAAACACAGTAGACCGATGCTTCAGTGTCATGCAGCTAGCCACATTTTGGGCTTGGGGCACGGGCGTGGAAGATCTCGCATAGGTTTCCAAAGGACACTAACAACAAAAGAAGAAAAGTGAATTAAAAGATCAAAAAGTCTCAAAAAGGAGTCACTACTCACGATGTTCATGAGCGTGAGGAGGTAGTTCTGGACGTGCTCTTTGCCATGGAAGCGGACCACCGAGTCGTCCACCCCCAGCAGCACCTCGATGTTGTAGTCGTCCTCGCCGGCGTGCCTGCGGCGCCGGGCCGCGGCGCTCAGCTGCTGCCCGACGCTGCCGTAGACGGCGCCCAGACCCTCCAGGCCCTCCAGGTCCGGTTCTGCCAAGAAACAAAGGAACCCAGGAATTTCAGTTTCCCCAGTGGCCTTCTATTAACCACTTAGAAAAAAAGAATCTTCCCAAGGGCCTACACTAAAATCCATAAGCACCGAGATGCTACTTCTCAGTTTATTCCTTAAACAACACGCACATGCATCTGACCAGACGGATCTCTTACAAATTCAACACAGAGCAGCAACGCTGAGGGTAGAACCATAATAACGTGCTGGGGACAGTGCCACCACGCAGACTGAACGCTCCAGGAGGATCGGAGTGGCTCAGTCTTTCTCCCAGATGTACCCCACGCACAGGAAAGGCAGCCGGGGAACAGGACACGTGCTAAATAGTTCATTGCATACATTGAGACTGTAAGTAAAACTCACATGTCAGTGTGCTTACAGAGGTTAATTTACATTACTATAACCACGGAGTATAGAATGTGTGTCGTATACATTTAAATTGATCCTCTTTCCAATAGCCTTAACTTAAAAATCAAATTATGTCATGACAACACAACGGCATCTAGTGACATGATTATCAGTCATCATGTGTTACTTTATTTCTTCTGAGTATGGTTTTCTAGTGAATGCTGCTAGGGAAGAAGTAGACAGATGAATCCGCTAAATATCACAGCTCTCCATATTTGTACTGGCCATCGTTTTGACACCTGGGCATTTCGGTTGCTATGTATCTGAATCTGAGATGGCAAAGTAGAAAGTCAGTCCAAAAAATGACCTATATCCAAGGAAAAATGAAAGTATAAACAATTTCCTATTTTATGCAGTTCAAGGAATTTAAATTTTTCATTTTCCAAATAGACATTTCATGCACACACACACATACACAGCCCACACACAAATATGCACATATATACATAAAACACACATTTATATATGGAGAGAAAGAGTGAGAGAGACATTATTAGGTTTTAATGACCTAGATTATCTGCCTTCAGATGACTACTGAAAGAAAAATTTTGGTGAATTAAAAAACAAAATCTATCATTTTGATACCAAAATTCAAAATTCTGGTACACGAAAACTGAAAATATATTCATAACCATTTGAAGTATATAAAAGTTGAAAAGCAATTTATTTTATAAACTGCCTTGATGTCTAAAACAACCACATACCTAAAAACAAGTTTGACAGAACCAACTCTGACGCACGCTTTATGTGGAGGTTTATTTAATGCTGTACCGAGCCTGTAGCCATCTGAATCGGCATCTGACATTAATAAATAGGTATTTTCCTCTCCACCTTTGTGGTTTTAATAAAGTTGAGGAGGAGGGAAAAAAAAGGTGTCTCTTGGCTAGGAAGATGGATGACCAAGCCCTAACCACACAGGATTAGAAGTAGTGGAAGTATAGATCCCACTCACACTATTTGTACCTTTCAAAAATACATAGAAACACCAACACCCCCCCATCCCAAAACATACACACAAGGAGGGGCATAAGCTCTGAATGTGACTACTCAGGTTTGAAAGCTACACTGTCATTCACTCTGACCCAAGCCCAACTGCTAGCTCATTAGTTGGGAATTTTTTCCTCACCAAGGAATCACGTTGGCTCCACAATACATAAATAACTCCAACCATCACCCACATCAAACAGGAAGCTTTCCTCAAAAGTTGCTTTCAAGAGCTCCAAACCTGCACAGAGGGCAAGAAACGACACCTGCAAACAGCTTCAACCTCAGGTCTTTCCACACACTTGAGAAAGTGGAAGGTTGTGACAGTAAGTGTACAAATAGGAAATTCAGACTTGAGCTCCCAGTTCCAAAAATGGTCCTTTTTGGCAGAACTCTCAGAGACAACGTCCAATGGAAATATACCAGCAATGTCAACGCAGCATGAATCCTGATGCATGAAAAAAGAAGGCTGAATACTTATTTCAGGAAGACAGTTCATTCTGCTCTAACACACCTTTGGTTTGGCCTTTGCATCCCTCCTTAAATAGGTGGCTTTATGGTAAGAGAAGGGATCTCTTTTTTTATTGCATAAAAAACTTGGGAAAGAAAAAGGAAGCCTTGTTGAATCGAAAATACTTTTGTCCCTGTTTTCCCTTGGGCTGTGCAATGTCCTTTCTTTGTTTCCTAAAGTGGGCAATATCAAATATTTCAAAGAAAGACATTGAGATAGCTTTTTTACTTATAAAAGCTTAAGCATTTTTTTACTTATATACATCATTTTAGTTGCGGACATCTCTGAGGCTGTGAATATATGTAAATATCTTCATGCATAATGAATTTGTCCTGGTATTCCCACTTTATAATGATCAAGTGATTAGTCGCACGAGCTTTGTAATCACATATACCTGGCTGGCTTCACATCTTCATAGTTGTACATCATAACAGTGTGATTTTACTGAAATGCCTAATCTCTTTGACGCTCAGTTTCCTCATATACAAAATGGGATAATAATACCTATTTTTGCAGTTACCATAATGATATGAGGTAATAATGCTAAAAAACACTGTGCACCGTGCTTAGAAATAAGTGTTCGGCAAATAGCACTTACTGCTACTAATGATGATGGCTTTCCCATTAAGAGAAGCCTTCAGTTTTTAAAACCCATTTTATTTTAGATACCACAAATTATTTAGTTACAGTTATTTTAAAACAGAGGTGAGAAAAAAATTCTGGAATTAGTGAAGGAAAATCTGAATTGCTATAACCTTAGAAAGAATAAAGTTCACCATATCTACTGAGAGCACAGAGGAGGTACAAGGAGAGAAGAATCGTTGCTTTCAGGTAAAATTAGGATGAATTCCAACCACACGGGCTCGTTTAGTAGTTTGAAAACCTAATACAAAATTGGAGAGAGTGAGCTGACATACAGCACTCGTTTTCACTCAACACATCTTTATTGAATACTCACACAAATACAGAACCTGAGGGGGTAGAAAACCTAAGTTGTTAATCCTTGGAACCACCCAGTTGAGTTAGATTTATCTTCAGAATGGAGCTGGATTTACATCAAGTAGTAACAAGCAAGTCGATAGTCTTGAATCACTTTCACAATTGCTAGGGTAGGCAGACCTAATCGACTACTGGAACATGCCTTTCAGTAATAGTTCACACCTTTATAAAGCTTCCCAGTTTAAAACATGATGATGTACTTTTGGACAAAATCTTAGGTGTCTCTGTACCTAATACTACCATTATCTCTGCCCCCATCAAAAGCATAGGAATAGAAACAACCACTGGGGAAAATCATGATGATCATGTCCAAACACTCTGGCAGATTTGTTTACTGCTTAGAAGGACTGAGAAGGATCACACACAAGGCAAGTTCAATAAGTGGAAGCAGAGTGGCCCTTTGTATTGGGTGTGGAAAATTATGGCACTTACGTAAATGCCAAGGGAACTTGTATGACAGTGGCTGAGTTGGGAAGCAGAAAGTGACTGATGTGTTAACACAATTAGAAGAAAAACAGAAAAATTCCTGCTAGAAAGTGTCTCCTAACAGGTATGCTCTCAATTGAACATTCAAAAAAAAAAAACTAGGTATAGTAATGTTATTATTCTCATGCTTCTTTCCAGAAAAGTGAAGCTCAGACTACTTTTTAAGCTTCTAAGACATATCAAAGACAATTCCTCTTAGTTCTCAGAATTTTTCTTTTATCAAACTTTTTGGAAAAAAGTGTAAGTTTTTGAAACTTACCTTAGGAGTTACTGATAAGCAATAATTAACATTTGCAGACATTTTGATTGTATCCTTTTGTACACTCCCTAGTTGCCTCATTGCTGTAAATTTGCATAAAAGGGTAATTTTACTGTAAAGCATATTTTATTGAAATGAATTTGGGGGTACACATAGGTGGCCAATCAAATCACCATAAATATAGTTATTTTAGTGTTAAATATAGGATTGCTAGCGTTACATAGGAATTCTGAACTTACTAAACAGGTAAAATAGAATATAACTTGCATTGCCGATTATGGACACTTAGGCTTGAAATATTTTCAGGAATACAGCATGCTCATATACCTAATAATATTTACAGGCAATCAAAGTGCAGAATTGGTGAAATCACTCCCTATCCAAGAAGAAATTCCTATGGTTTGAAAAGGGCAGGAGACAAAGGTAAAATTGGAAAGATACAAGTACTGATCACATTCTGAATCTAGCACCAATACACTGAAGTTGGAATGTAATCTTAAAAGCATACTGTGATAGAGACTGTAATAGAATCATCTACCCAATATCCATTTCCCTCCTTCCTAAGGAGAAGAATGTCAATTTTATTGGAGGTGTTAATAAACCCAGCTAAAGTCATTCCAGTTTCCCTTGTGACTAATGATTACATGTGATTAAGGATAAGCCAATGAGATCAAAGCAGACGTATTGCTTCTATCTTGGTGGCTTATATAGAGGACTTGCATTGGCTAATACAGAAGACTTTCATGAAGGCAATTCATTCCAGGAGGTGTACCCCCTTGGCCTTCCCTCGATATTCCTTCCTGCTGCCTGGTATGTGGACATGTCAGAAGCTCCATGAGGTGACCTTAGGATCAAGGCATGTGCAGAATATGGTCCCTGTGAGCAAGACTGCTTCCACGATGACTGCGGAGCTGCTGCAGCAGCCCTGGAATACCTGGCACCAGACTTCTTCACGTACGAGGGGTGATACTTTGTCATCTTTAGGCCACCAATTCTGATGAGTTTTCTCTTATATGTCACTGAACCTAGTCCTAACACAGATGACACTGACAAATTTTAATTATGGTGACTCGGTCGTCCATGTACTCCTACTCTCTATGGGAATGGAAGTTAATTTTCATGTTAATAAGTGAATGATACAGTAAGATGCACTTTGCCAAAATATGCCATAGCAGCTTTCTTTGTAGTGTATCTACTTCAGAAAATGAAGAAGCATCATACTGTTTTGCAGTAACAATAAATAGAGAATGAGTCTATATGTACAAATTTAGCATTCTTCATGAACAGAATACTGTTATGTTATGAAGTAACTGGAATGCTACATGCTGGATTTT